ACAATATTCAAGTTTGGGACGGATACATGTCCTATATATAGCTACTCTTGCTTCTTGGGTGTAGAAGTTACGCAGTACAAAGGCGGTAAGTCGTTTACAGTCAGATACAACCTTCTTTGCATGATCGGAAAAGGATAAATCTGAGTATGTTATCTCGAGATCTATGACTGTGTTCAGTTTTGAGAGGGGCTTACCGTACATATATAGGCATGTTATCGGTTTCCAGTGTCCAAGGTGGGTTATACCGCACTTGTCTGGGTTGAAAGTCAATTGCCGCTTCTCGCTCCAATCGCCTAGGCCGTTTAAGTCTTGTTGGATCTTGCTTTCGATGCTCATATCACCAATCAAATACTATCTTCACATCATCTGCAAAAAGGTATGGCTTGCCATACTTGATCACAGAGACTATGTCACTTATAAATAAGAGGAATAGAATGGGGCCAAGAACGCCACCCTGTATTACACCACTCGTCATCGGCTTTGATGAAGACAGCTGGTGGTTGATTTTGACCAATTGCTCTCTTTCTGTGAGAAAAGAACTTATCCATCTGAGAAGTATTCTGGTTATTCCGTAGGATTGAAGTTTTGTTAGGACTCTGATATGTGGGGCTTTATCCAAGGCCTTGCTAATGTCGAGAAATAATGTTGTTAACGAATGCCCATTATCAATGCATTGCGTAATGTAGTCAAAATAATATAAGTGGCAAGTAGTGCACGACCTTCTACTTAAGAAACCGTACTGAATGTTTTGTGTTTTTACTATCTTTTCCATTACACGCGAAACTACAAACGTGATGTTTACGGGGCGGTAGTTGTTGATACCAGCTATAGGCCCGTATATATGTATAGGTACAATAGAAGCCTTTTTTAGGAGTTAGGGCATGTCCTATCGCTTTATGTAATTGAGTATAACTTGAGTAACAATAGATTCATCTCGTTACCACCTTTTTTCAGCAGAACGGAAGATATACCATCTGGAACAATAGTGTTGCTAAGCTTAAGATATGCGACAACTTTATCGATCTCATGTGTGGCAAAAATTACGTCACTTAAATATTCGTCTGTTTTACGTGGGAAATCCACGACCTCATCGTTCTCTAAGGTATATATTCCGGCGAAGTGCTTGCTAAACAGTTCACATATCGCCTCATTATTTTCGTAAGCAATGCCGTCTAAGTACATTATTTTCGGACAGACTCTTTTGGAGTTCGCCAACCTACTTTTGAAAAGTTTGACCATTTCTCCTGAGTAATGGCCTGCATTTCTTTGTTTCTGAGGCCTATATTTCTCAACTCTTCAATTCTATTGAGAAGGGACGTAATAGCAATTAACGATGATAAGTCATGATATCTGTAGTATTTTATTGAGCGCTTTCGTAGACTTCTTCTAAACGATATCGGAATATAATCGCTTTGGGGAATCTGAAACTAAGAATCTTGAGTTAATATTCTGATAAAAGTTGTTAAGAATTGCCTCTAAGGACTGGTTCGAAAAGTACGAGTCCCAATTAGAACATCTAATTAAGTGCTAATACAAGTCCCAGTCAGCATGTGTGTACAATCTCATAGGTATCTGGCCAGCTTCATCACTGAGTTTTGTTTCAGGAAAGATGTCAAAAAAAACACTACTATTTTATGGTCACTACCTAGAAATTCGTGTCCCATGTACTGTAGATGGTGTTATGTTGTTCGTGGAAATAAGGTCTAGGATATTTGCGGATCTAGTGGGTGAATTTATGTGTTGTGTCCACCCTCTTGTGGCGATGGAATTCAGGAGATTATCATACCTTTGGGGTCCTCGGAGTGAAGACCATGATACTTCTGGCATGTTGAAATCACCTCCGATAATTTTATAACTAAAAGGAAGATTGGCTGTAACATTAAAAATATTTCTGAGCATATTATCATATTCCCTGCTGGATGAAACGGGTCGGTACACACAACCCACAAGTATAGGTTTACTTCTGACAACTTTTATTTCTACCCAGATCGGGTCATTGAGTTGTGACAGAATCGGGTTACTAAACTGGGTTTCACACATGGATTGTTCACAGTAAATTAGTGTTCCACCCCACGACCTGTCTGCCTGTCCCCTCGAAAAAGGTTGTATTTATCAATCCTTAGGCTATCACTGGAGATTTTACTTGTGCACCAGGCTTCAGTAATCATGATCAATGACGGTCTGCATATAGAAGCTAATACACTTACTGTTAAGTGTTTGCTTAGAAATGATCTCATATTTACTAGGATAACAAATAAACAGTGGCTAAATGGTTTCAGTGAGCGGACAATATCTTGATAAAATAATCCGTGAGTATCCTCTATATTCATGTTATGAGACTCATTTACCAATATCTTTGGATCATAGGAAGACTTCAGGTAGGTTTTAGAGGTGGTAGTCAGAGACGGTCTTTTGTTCGGATATGGCATGCAGTGAGAGACACCAGTGTGATAATCAGATAATATTTTAGAGATATTAGTATCCGCGTTTGATGTCGACACTGTGTCAGCTATCTCCCGGGAAATATGCCTTGCCCTAGCTGTAGACCGTTCGCTATGCTAGCAAGGACGTTTAACCATCGTGGCCAAGTATATTCTGACGGACGTGTCCCACATTGATTTCAAAAGTTGACGATTATGCTGATGGAGAAATTCTCATATATATGAGGGCCACTTCTCAGTGTAAGCTCCGTCTTCAATGGATGCATTTTCTTGCATTATATGTACGTTCAGGCTGCTCTAAGGGGCTAATGATCCCTGATGTTGCATCGCTACGCATTTCTGAGCCTCGCATGTATGCTCTAATTGAGGGATTACTTTTGCTAATGTGTTGGAAGGGGTTCACAACATTCTTGTTTTCCCTTCCAAATACAGTGGCAATGGACGAAAATCAGATGAAGCACGAAAACCGACAAATGAATATGAAACGAATCCTTGCAGATACATCATATTACTTTAGACAGGAGACCAGAAGGCTGCCCAATACCATCCCACCCATAGCAAGTAATACTAATGATGTTAGAATAGACTTTTGACTTCTGGCTCGTTTTAGTACGGGCTGAGCTGTGACGCTAGATATTTCCAAAACCATTAGTCCAGAGCAATCGTCACTGATCCACACTGTTTAACTCAAGTAAACTGGGGCTTCATTCACTTCCTAAAATCTAATTACACCAGTGGGCTTGGATTGTGACATGTTCTTGCCGGTTGCCTTGTTGCGTATTCCCTGAGATTGTGGTGTGTGGTTCATTGCTATGGCGGTTAAACGATAAGTTGCATTGTGTTATACACTTTTCGACAGAAATTCTGCATCAAGAGAGTTCCTCCGACTCACACATTATAGGCAGCATTGTGTTCTTGAACTACGTTACATTACCTGTGCTTTTATCGGAAAATGTCGCTTAATACTGACATTTGTGCAGTGTTATGGATTAAAGATAGTAAATTCAAAAGTCCTACGTATGTTATTGAACTTTCACGGAATCTTGACGGTATATTTTGACTTACTTACTGAGACGCACGAATTCCCACCGGATTAAGTTGGAGCCACTTCAGAAAACGGATATGCTGTATAATCGCCTTGAGACTCTCTAGGTTGGCTGGCCTAACCTTGTTGGCAAGGCTACTCTCAACACGGCAATGACTGGAGAAGGTAACCCTTACGGCTGCTCAAGGGTGTATTGATTGACTATGGCATGAAGGCAGTGCAGAGATTTACAACCACGCCGCACTGCAGACTTGTGGTCTCGTTCTTTGAAAACGCGCATGTCTGCAGTCCGATTCAGACAGTAGATATAAGTATACATTGAACAATGAGGGCTGAATGGCTGAAATTAAGGTGAATGTGTGAACTTCTTTAACCTTCTGCTAAGGAAACCAAATCTAGGAGGTTCTTGTGTTGTGCAGGGACTCAGCCATCTCTACTGAATCTTTGTGGAGAACACCTCTTCAGTCTCTTAAATGAAGTGCTCCAGAGTTAACATATACATGGAAATTCTATAAAGGGCAGATGAGAAGCTTTCCCCGTCCCAAGTGTAGATAGAAAGCCCAACGAAATAACTTTCATAACTGATCTGTAGGAATGCCGCCACTAGTGCTAAAGCATGCAAATCTGTCGCTCAGTGTAACTCCCGATTGGGCCGTTTCCCCTCTTTTCTGTTAATTTTGTCCCACACACAGCCAAGATGTAATTTATATCCTATACTCACGGCGTAGGCTCAGACTATTTGAAATACGTGATCAGAATGTGTACGGGGCTTCCCCCCCCATTGGTACACTTACACCAGACCTCTGACGCCCCTGTTAAACCAACGCAGTATCTCATGTGGACACTGAAAAATTCAGTGATCTGCTGCATATGAGTAGACGCGCCAGCAGCTTGTAGAAGAAACAGGGAAGAACAGGAATGAGGTGGCGGGACTTTGGAAGGAAAAGGTGAATGTAGGAGATGAGGAAACCATGTATTTTTGGGATTAACTTCCTGAGTTTACTGATTAACCTGATAACACCCAGAGTCCCCCATGGTGCTATTGTTGTGAACCGTGCGGTAGCCACTGAGAGATAGCCTCTCAGATAACCAAAGCTCGAGTGCACTCCCACATCATTTGGCTACGCTTGTTGTACTCTCTCAGTGCTTCATTGGAAGCCGTGGTCATCTCATCATCATTAAGGGGGTATTAGTAAGCAATAACGAGCCCATGGTTTACATCCAGATGTCTGACATACAGACTTAATATAGATAATCGTCCTCACATAAAGTTTCGTCAACGGCAGCCTTAATCCGAATTCACCCAACAGTGTTTTCCCGCCAATGTCCAATGTATAATAATCTGTTTCCTATTTTTCGGCATATTTTACCTTTTCACAATAAATTCGTTGTCATAACAGTCATTATTTTTTCGACTACTAAATATGGGAGACGATTTAGGAGGTCTAACTATGGAAACGACTAGCGCCGTATGTATGAGTCTAATGGATTAAAAAAACTACCAGACTAACACACGACCATCACTCTGCCTTCAGGGGTCTAGCAGAGCCACAAAAAAGACTGAAAAAGATAGTCATTCAAAATTCCACTGCAGGACAGTTCGCACTAAGAATTTCAGTAGTCCACTTTTGCATATCGGAAGCATGACAAATTTGTTTGGATCGATCTCAAGGTTGAGCTTATGCGAATCTGAATGTGAATCCGGTAGCACGAATTCAACACGTGATTGTGCAAAGCCGAACAACAGGTGACTGCAACCCAAAACGAGACGCCCATAAAAAAGTAATGCAATGTTAAAAAGTGGTCATTAAGAGTGATATTCTTGTATATGTTCCAAGAAAACCTCCCAATTTCTTACAGGAGTGCTCATAGTCAGGTTAAGTCAATATCTGTACTTAAATTCATCAGTGTCGTCACTCCGTTCATTGGGTAGTTTCTCTTTGGGCTGCTATAGTTTAGAGTCGTCCCAACACTCATATATTATGTCTGAATCAATTTTTAATTATATTTATTTTCTTTAAGAAACTTTTCTACACAAGAAATCCTCTCCCACTAGATGACTTCGTCTAGTTGTTCCGATTCATTCATTTGGTCCTTGAGTGTTGTGTGATACCTCACAGTTGTCAGCTAATCGGTAACTCAGTCCCTGAAACTTATAGACTTCGTTGTTGCTGGGGATTTTCTAATAATCACGTTTTTCCACTATTACATGCCTGATTGTTCTTAGCTCTTGTTTCCAAGTAGCAAGAACTTCCAGGTTTACTACGGAAAGTGGGATATGATGGGCACTTCTTTGCAATGGACCCGAAGTTTTCACACTGCGTTGGAGTCAGTGCTAGCTGGGTTGTTTTCTACTTGCAATGTATTTAGACCTTCTGGGGTCATGCTGTTGTATCTTTTTCATTAGTTTGCATTCGTTATCTCCCATTTTCCGGCTTAGTTGAAGAACGAATCTAGTTTTCACATGACTGAATTATTCATTCGCCAGTTGTGCGGTAGTCATTTTATTTGTTATAATAGAGGTTGACAAATCTTTCGCATCTCTCGAACGAAGTAAAAGCAGTGGGACTCGATAGTGTGAATCCAGAAGCGCTTAAGGATGGCGGTGATAAATTATTCTCTGGGTCAACTAACAAAATAAGTACTGTGTGGGAATCTGAGACATTTCTGTTGGAGTAATGGGGATCTTTGGTTGTCCCAGTTCATAGAGATAAATCAGCCATTTTAACGCTTGTGGGGCGTTGTCATGAGAAGTAATGTCTGTCTGTCTGTCTGTTTTCGACATAGAACTTTGCACAAATGTGCGGAAGTTCAAGTCGCCACATTCCGTGTAGCACGCGAAGCAAGTAATGACAACCAGTGGTTTCCTTCGGGGATACCCAATGTTCACACTTTTGTCTTAACTCGTCGTAGATGCACTAATAAATGTGAACCAAGCGAACTTTAGCCATTAAGAGGCTAGCTAGTCGCCAATGAACGGTCTCGTGGAGCCAGAGTATGGGTGATATAGTCTTTCAACGTGAATGACCGTAGGTGTTTGTGCGCTGTTTCCCCTGTCAAGTTGTGCAATATAATGTGTAATATTTAGGTTAGGAATAGAGCTAGATGAGAAGGGAAAATCGGTCAATGTGGTTGTAAAGCTACATGGTTGAGATGATCAAGACACTTATGCTGAGGCCTCACCTTCTTGGTCGGTTAGTGTCAGCTGGCAGTGACAAGGTGGAAAAGGGTTAGGTGTGGTTAGGTCAAAACACTGTATCAGCTTATGAAGTCTTTAAATGTTAGTGTTAGCCACATAGGTGGGTATTGAGTATGTGTTTGAGTTCATCAAAAGGCTAAGAACGACTCTCTATCGACTTTCGGTGATATGACATGAAGTCCTTCTCAATGTCACAGATGGGACATACCAGGTCTATTGATTTCTCACTATTCTCCCTGTAATTATTCTTCCTCCGTATATTTTCGTCCATTTGAGTTCTTTTGAATTGGAAAAAATCAGCTACACCCTTGTTAGGCAAGTTAATACTTGTTTACTGAATAGCAAATAGATATCAGTTTTGTGTGTGATTCTGGATAGTGTAGAAACATGCTCTATGATTTGAAAATTACAAAATCTTGTTGTCATTTCAGCCGTTCATATGTAAACTTTAATAGTAAGCGTGATCTACATTTACTGAATAGTATGTGAAACTGAGGTTCGGAGTTTGTCAGCTACTCTTTCGTTCTTTACAACATAAGTCAGTATCTTATTGCGTTTTAATTGATTTTTTCTTGTTTATTTTCCAGAACCTGTCCATCCAGAGTCCACTGACTAATCACTTATTGCTGGTTATCCATCTCTACAGAAATCCTTAAGAGCTCATAATGGCTACAGATAATGATATTTTGGATATTATAAAGGTTGGAAAATATAGATTTTATTTAATCAGTACTTTAGGCAATTAAACGTGATGAAAATGATACCTCAGTTGAATTTCCTTTTGAGCGAATTTCACGTTTGCTTCTTGGTAAGTGAAAATGAAATAAGCTCTTGTTACGTTTTTAGTATTCATTCGTAGTAGTAAAGTTTTGCATTTCTAATAAGCTTCAGCTCTAACATACGGTAGTGAAGAAATACAGGCAGTATTAGATAGCTGTAGATATTTTTGTTTCAGAATCTGACAGTCCGTGGATTGTTAGTGGCCCGGTTTTGATGGAATTTGTGTTCCAAACCTCGATATAGATTTCCTATGGGTATATAAATTTCTTTCCCAATACGAACTAACACATGCCTACAAAGTAGAATTAATTGAACCTGTCAAATATGTGTAGAACTTGTTAACTGAACACATACCTTGTTAGATATTCCATGTTTCTTTTTCATTTAAATGCCACGTAAATACAGTGTTAATATCGTCATTTGGGGGGGGGGCGGGGTAAACTCGGGAAGGCCTTCCATTTGTCCTCGTATCTCAACCAATGTGGAGACAAGCGCGTGCTATTGTCATGCCCTGTTGATCACATAAGTACATCGATCTATCCAGCGGTAACTTATGATATGAATGGCTAAGATTATTACTATTTCACCGCTTCTCTGAACTCGACGGTGATGGGGATGTCCATTTTCCCCATTTCTATTCAATTTCATCATAGATGTACTAATGGGCTTAACCCTAACCCACTTCAGAGACTCAGGGATTGACTTGCTACCAGGGAATAATCTCGTCGACTTAGAATATGCAGACGATATAGTCCTTTTAGGCGAGGATGCCGACAAAATGCAGAGTCTTCTGAACACCTTGAGTTAAGATCTACGAATGTTTGGCATGCGATTCGCTCCCGCCAAATGTAAGATGATTTTACAGGACTGGACTACACTGACTCCTAGACTAGAAATAAGAAGTGAAGTGGTAGAGCACGTTAACCGCTTCACTTATTTGGGAAGTTGAATCAGCCCCAACGGGTTGATCTCTGACGAAATCTCAACGGATACAGAAGGCTCGTTTCGCATATGCCAGTTTACGCCATCTCTGGCGTAGACGTGATATCCGGCTATCAACCAAAGGGTGGGTGTACTGCTCATTAGTTCGCTCCGTCCTCCTTTATGGCTGTGAAACCTGACCATTGAGAGTGGAAGACATGAAAAGATTAGCTGCCTTTGACCATAGGTGCCTGCGCTCTGTCTCCCGTATGAAGTGGTATAATAGGGTGAGCAATATTGAGGTTAGGCGTCGGTCGAGTTCTAGGTAAGGAGGGGAAATCAATCGACGGGGCTGTGAAATTACATCGACTGAGGTGGTTAGGACATGTTTTCCGTATGCCTAGTCATCACCTTCCTTGACGGGCGATGTTAGTTGATATAGGGTCAGGCTGGAAAAGAGCTAGTGGCGGTCAAACCAAAACATGGCACCAGTCAATGAAATGTACAACAGTTAGTTCAAGCCAGTCACGTAGGAAGGTGGCTAGTTGGGCTCCTCGGGACGGTAACAACCAATGGTTGGAAACATTTGGTGATATGGTTCAAAATCGTTCTCGGTGACGCAGATGCATGCACTCCTTGTGACCTATGATTTCCAATGAAACTGTTTTGTTCTTCGTTACCTCTATTTCTTTGTCTGACACCTCTGTTTGTTGTCTCTATTATGCATTTCTTCTACCTTCTTCTCTCGCTTTGTGTGCCACGTGGAGTGTAGAAGCTTGAACTGCCATACATCGCTGTCGAAAACAGACAGACATGACGGTGGTAATCTCAACGGTGACATTTGTAAGGAGGGATTACCACTAACCGTTCATTCTTTGGGACTCTATGTTTGACATGGCTCTGAATGCCTATCTGTAAATTGAAATCCTCGTGTACGATGACCACGTCTGTTCATTAGATTTTTCTCATTAAACCATTTTTGTTTTTGGCAGGACATGCATTTCACAAGAAGTCTTGGAGTACCATTTAAAAAACAACACTTATGTTATACGTATATCTCTGAACGAAGCTACAGGTTTGGGAGTTGATGCATAATGTAAAACCGCAGGAATGAGGTATTGGGCACATCGGTGATCAGATCGTAAATCTGAAGTCACATTGACCTGCTTAGGTGGATTTTAGTGAATGAAAACACACTAGGATTCTGTATGCGGATGTTGAAGTTATAGTTAGTAGAACAGGGGTGTGAAATAGGGACAAAACGTGGTATTCAAGAGACTTGATTTTCTGACACATGAACTACAGTCATTACCGTGATTAGTGGAGCAGACAGTTGAAGATAGTGTTTGTTTGATGAGATGAAAAAGGAAAATCAACTTGAAAAGTGATGAAGAAGACTGATAATTAGATTCTATGTATTTATTGTGGCTTGACTCCACACAGTATTTTTGATACAAGTATGAAATTTTCAGCATGTGATATCGGTAGCCCGAATTTAGCAGGCCGACAATTGGTATCAGGTGTGCGTCGGCCGGGGATAAAACCCCAGACCATTCCCACGGTCGGCGAGCGTCCTAACCGCCACCGATGATGTATAGGTCTAGAGCGAAGTGCAGGCAGTTGATACTTACATACTTTACAAGTAAAAGTTAATACCTCATTGTACTTGAAATAGATAAAGAGGTGTTTAACTAAAAAGACTAGAGAATATCTGTAACAGCATGGCTGTTGATGAAAGTATTCTACGTTCTCTTTCAGGAAAGCAACTTTTCCCGTAGACCTTCATTATATTGAAGTGGCATACTGTGTGAAAGATTATGCTGCCACTAGAAATTGGCATTATACGAAGACATTTAAGTATGGTTTGGAATTGATTCCAGTGGTAAAAATACATTTGTATTCTATCTTTGTACGCAGTGTTTATCTATTTCAATAAGTGACTGCGTTATTGTTCGTTTTAACTAATTGTGATTTTCCGATTTTTTCTCTCTTATTGACTGTCAGATGAAAAAGGTCTTCCAGATGCCCTGGTTGAATGTATTGTAAGTGCTGCCTTCGATCCATCACTTGTAAGTTACATATTTTAATTGACGGTTCATTTCACCTGTTTTCTTAATCAGATAAGGCTGAAAGGTTTTGAGTTGTTATTTCCTGGTCTTTGGAAATGTGCGTTTCTAAGGTTAGTTACATTGTTGCTAACCCTTTGGTATTTTGATTTAGAGCATCAGAGGTAAACTGGAGATCATCGCAAGTGTTTCCTGTGTTGAATCAAATTGTACGGTTCAACTCTTTTGTAGACTTCGCTGACCAGTTTGCATCTATCCTAGTCACTTCAGTTGAAAAAGCCTCTAAATTATATATGTGTAAGTATTTCTTTTAAATTATCTGTTTAAAAATTATTTAGTCGACGCGGATTGTATTTCGTTTTTAGATGCACTTTTACAGTTTGGCATGAAACACAATGTTGACTTGAATGATGCCCTTTTAAAAAGCGTCATTATTTGTGGTAATGAATTCGATTCGTCATGTAAGGTAAGTTTTTTCAGATAACTCCATTATGGGTAAGATTTTATTTGATAAATCACAGTGTTGTACAGTGTTATTAACTGATGACGTTTCGAGCACAAACTATTGCTCATAATCATATCAAGTTACTCACACTTTTTTTCCTTCATTGATATACATGTGTGGAATTGACCAGATATCAAGCTAGAGCCTTGAATTTTCGGAAGCAGTTATGTATATTTTTACGGGATGGAGTTGCTAGCCCCATACCTAACCTTCACTCCTTACCCGTCTTAATACCGACTTAACGAGGTGAAGGAAGGCGTCGTCCGGAGTGAGTCTGTAAAATTCACCTTACGAGTGTCACGAGATTGTTCGGCTAGTTCACACGGACTTGCAGTTGTATGGATAGCATTGAGTGCCAAGGCGGGAAAATCCCAATCCTACTGGATTCCAGTAGTTAGTTATAGGTGGTATGCTGTCCCTTATGGATACGATTTTATTTTGATAAATCACACAGTTTTATACAGCAATATGCTATCCGTCTGAACGGATCCGCACGAAGAAGATAGGTCAGCGTTACCCGTCGATGTCTTTTCATAATCCTCCGTCTACTCTCCAGATGATTGCAGTTCGGACGAAGTACAGGATGAATTCTATCAGCAGGTCTCTAGTTTAATGCTAAAAGTGAAACTCTCAGATACAGTCGTTTTAGCAGGCGAGTTCAGTGCTCATGCAGGCTAGCTATATCACTCGGAGAAGTATATTGATAGCACCTATGAAGGTCCAGGCAGCCAACCGACAGCAGCGATCGTCTCCAACGGTTCTGTTCAGATAATCATCTGTTGGAAACAATCAATTCCCGGTATGAATTTCGAGCAAGCAACAAAGGTTGATAAAGCAGGATTTAATGGAATCATCAAATTTTGGTAGAACTCAACTGAATACTCCATATACAGGGACATATATATGAAATCCTACCACAGTGTCTAAATCCTACTTTTTCTCTAAGTCCTCTGTGTTCACCATCAGATCTTCACTGTAGTTCCTTTCCTGTTTTATGTTAAAAATCTCACAAGTAGTAACCAATGAATTATGTAATGTAGCCGCTGAAATGGACTTGATGGAATGTAACCTGGTGTGAAATGATAAGAGTTACTCAGGTAAACCTCTTGAGCATTAGTTTTTTGCTTGTTGGAATTTATCACTCAGGCATGTCTGCACCCACCTGAAGATGTATTCCCCTTACGATATTCTGATGTTTATCAGTCATACTATTGTGCGTGGTTTATTCTGTTTGCATAAGGATAGCTAACACGACCACATAAAATGTGGTCACTGCTTTCAAGATAAGAAACAGCCCCCATTCTTGGCTGTAACTCTGATCTGCGTGAAACATGTAATGATGGTGAGTATTGAGTTAACTGGGATTGTCATCAAAGTCTCATAAACCGTTAATGCCCAGCTCTCGCTACGCTCGGGCCCACGCTGTTCTTAGAAGATTTCTGAGAAACGCTTAGTAACAACGGACGAAAAAACCAGAACACCAATTGTTGACTTGAGTATTATGTATTGTTACACCAGCATATAAATCAAGTATCACTAAGCAAACTAAGGTCTGTAAACAAATATTACAATAATAAATCGTTATGTTACTTCTGACGATGTTTAACTCTTCTTTCTGAACAGCGACCGATGAGACGATGACTGTCGTATTGATGCCTCCGCGAAAATCGAGGAAGTTGATTTTGAGCAAACAACCAAGAATTGATCGTTCAATCTTCAACTCCATTGACACTCCCCGGCAAAAAAGGGATCCAACCCTTTTTTCCTTCACGACCAATGCACGTTGACTTGGATGCCATTGCGAGAACCTGGGTCACACGGACAGAGCTGAAATGGAAAACAAACAGAAAAGCCAACACACCACAAGCATACCCACAGCACAATCTCACACATCAATGACGACCTGCGCCTCCAGACAGAGACCTCCTCTTGACATCTTGCAACACAATCGCCACTTGCTAGAATGACTCTTGCAGAATGCAAAGTGACCATGGCAGCACCTCACGATACTCTACGCACATCCTCTTATCTACTCATTACCAATTACCACTGAAATCGCTGGTCACTCATTCTGCCTCAGTTCTAGTAGCGGTGACGCATGCGAGCCTCAGTCGTTTACACTCTTTCTCCCCGGCGTGTCGGACCGCAGCTAACAATTATCTCCGTGTGCATTTCATTCTCAGCAATAGCCTAGCCTCCCCGGCGTATACGACCCATCTGCTGTCCTTAACATCAATCAATTCATTCATGGATGTAGAAGACTCGAAACAACTTCAGAAATAATCACGACGAAAATTTTAACAAAATTACGCAATAACAACAAGATACGAAAACAACAAGTAAACACAATGAATCCAAAAAACACCAATTGATAGAACACACCACACATATATACAAACAGTACAAACAACCTCGCCGATCATGTCTTGATGGAATTCCTTTGAAGAATTGCAGGACTTACACCAGTACGCCCGCAACCCTTCACAGGTTGACGATTGTAAGTTGTGGAATGTCCGGACACAAACAAGATTAACCAACAATTACAATAATTGGAACTCACACAATTATTTAACACAAACATATGTACAATCAACACATCAAATGTTGTGGATTCTGACACGACAAACTACCCTTGAAGAACTGTAGGACTTACAGCAGTACGCCTACATTCCTTCTCAGGTTGATGATACAAGTGGAAGTCGTCCGGACACAAACAGAATTACCAACAGATAGATAAAAGATGATATCAATTCAGTATATACAACATGAACATATGTACAAAATCACACACCAAGCACATTGGACTGCTCATTGATGCGCTACCCTTTGAAGAATTGTAGGACTTACAGCAGTACGCCTACAACCCTTCTCAGGTTGACGCCCTAGGTTGGAAAATCGTCGCAGAGTTCATTTGCTAACTTCCTTCTATCAGCTATATCCTCAAATCTGAACGGCAACACGCCCATGTCATTGTATCGTAGAATATAGATGACCAACAAACACACGACATATCTCATCAACCAAGTGTAGAAACAGAGTAATTTACACCAAAGATAATAACATTCAAATAGTAACTTGAAACTAGAAATGCCTTTATTCGTGCAAGTCAATTTAACAATAACTCTCTCATTTACACTTGGCTTATCCACACTAAACTGACCATTGATATTCGTCCTTTCAAACGAACTGATACTACCATAGTCATTGCACAAGATACTTGAGTTCATGGGTGTCTGTTTCATTGTGGATGACAGCACCAACGACGACTGATTGATATCAGTTGATGAACTTAGCAGTGGATCAAAAGCTGTTGTTGCTCGCTTTTCAGAAATTTGTCTACCTGCAAGACCACCACCACTGCTGTCTTTTACTATCAGCTCAGGTTTAACACTAGCATCTGATGATAGGTGGGCTACATGCTGATCACTCCCACTGACGGTCTTACAAGTATGCATGCCTTCTGCAACTGAATCTGCATTTATTTCTACTTCACGTTCAAGTTGTACAGAACCTTTATTTAACTTAGCAGTAGTAGGCATTCCCTCCATTTCATCATGATCAACCAAAGACAAATCTGCACTATCATGATCATTATCACAAATATTCAATTTACCGTCAACTTCATCATTTTCAAACTCTTTAATAACAGAAGTAGACAATTTTGGTTCCTCCTCAAAAATTATTAAAGGTTTTACATCTTCACTCTGACTAGTTATACTTTGTAAACTTTTGGAGTCAGAACTCCACTCTGAAGCAGTAACTCTATTCTGTGACACTCTATTCAGCAACGGCTTACCAGTTGCAACTACAGACTTCTTCACAACAACGTTATCGTCACACAATTCGGAGTAAGGCCTGGAGTTTACATTTAGCTTATCACTGAACTTGCTCACTGGTTCACAGTTCACTTCTGTATGCACCTCTTGCACACGTGTAGAACAAAGCCGTGTTTGTCTTGCATCTTGTAACTTATCTGTTGAGGATGTACTACGAAACCTGTTACACTCACTAGGTCTATATGCATTACTAGACATCATGGAGTCTTCTCGATATCCACCTCTCTGAGGCCTACTCGTCATCAATGAGTGCGTTTTACCCTCAGACTGCTCTATTCTAGGGGTGAGATCTAACAGACTGGAAAACTTGCTCATAGATTGATTGACACTAGTATTTACCAGTTTCAGGATATCATCAAACTTTGGCTCGATACCCTCATCCTCCATACGGGAGCTTATCTTCACCCACTTCCTTTGCAGTCGAGTAGGTAGACGTCTTGCTATTACTTCTAGTATAAAACTCGAGTTGAGGTCACTCATGCGATTCATCGAAATCATTCCATTCTTGTAAATTAGCAAATTATCTAAAAACTCAGTGAGTGCCTGGGAGTCATCCTGTAACTGACCACCATTACCCTCAACAGCCTCGAATAATTTCCCTGCAATCATCGAGGGTCTTCCAAACCTTTGACGTAATATGCTCATAGCCTCATCGTAGCCCTCCTTTGGCTTCATAAACTTACAGCACTGTATAGCTCTTGAAGCATCTCCAGTGCAATATCTCATCAAATACATCAATTTCAATTCATCATTTAATAAAAAACCACTCAACATGATCTCAAACTCCTTTACAAATTGTAAATAATCAGCCGGGTTTCCATCAAAACATCGTGGTTCTAATTTAGGGAGTTTGATGTTCCTATTATCCCTGAACGGCGAAACAGTAACATCAACCATATCATGTTTAACATCAGACACATCGTTACAATTAACAGACAAGTCACCATGACTTACTTTCCTGTTTGCATCCAAGACACTCTGTCCCTTCTTTGACCCAGGCATTGTTGAACTTGACCAAATTCCAAAAAAGTTCCAGATATTGCTTGTTCAAAGAGGACTTGACCGGCACCAGGAAAAATGAACGGCGACTATCCAAACTTTCACCAACTGTTTCAATCCGCCAGATCTGTTTCTATCGTCAGAAACTGTCATCAAAGTCTCATAAACCGTTAATGCCCAGCTCTCGCTACGCTCGGGCCCACGCTGTTCTTAGAAGATTTCTGAGAAACGCTTAGTAACAACGGACGAAAAAACCAGAACACCAATTGTTGACTTGAGTATTATGTATTGTTACACCAGCATATAAATCAAGTATCACTAAGCAAACTAAGGTCTGTAAACAAATATTACAATAATAAATCGTTATGTTACTTCTGACGATGTTTAACTCTTCTTTCTGAACAGCGACCGATGAGACGATGACTGTCGTATTGATGCCTCCGCGAAAATCGAGGAAGTTGATTTTGAGCAAACAACCAAGAATTGATCGTTCAATCTTCAACTCCATTGACAGGGATTCTTTTTTTTTCCTTCACGTTCCCAGTGGAACATAGGGCTCCAAGCTATAGGCTTGAAGATTTCGTAGCAGTGTTGATTTTTTTTTACAGGATGGGGTTGCTGGCCTCATGCCCAACCTTTCCTCCTTACCAGTGTCACTACTGGCTTAGCGAGGTAAAGGTGTGCACCGGCCGGATCTTGAACCCCGGACCATGTACATGGTCGGCGAGCGTCTTAACCGCTGTGCCACCGACCCACAACTGGGATTCTAAAAAGTAAATATTAAGATTATTCTTTCGAAATTATTAATATTTTACATGAGATCTGTTTGATAATGTCGCCGCTTTTTTTATTTATTTGGATACATTAATTAACAATTGGCGTATTTTATGACATACATTCTCATTCGTATACTTAGTACAAGCTGCATTTCTGTGTAGTGAAAATCATTAGCCTTAGTAATCCTTGATGACATCGTATTCACCTTACATTTCTTTAGGATGACTCACTGTGGAATCGGTTGATTTTAATAATAAAGTTGATAAACTTAATGAAATCAGTCGACGTTACTAACAATTTGTTGGAATCGCTGAAACAACCGATTTCATTTTGCTTGGACTGCTTGAAGACTAAAAGTAAGTCAGTTGTTTCATTTAAAGTTGTTAATGTGTGAAAATGAACTTATTTAAATTATATATTACTTATTATGGATCAATGACTGAAAAATTCAGCTTTATCAACTTAATATAGAACTTAGAAGACAATAAATTCAGCGGAATGACATAAGCTGTAGATTTCGAAACTAAGCTCAGATTTTCTGTGTTGGGTATACGATGTTCTTTTTTTTTCATTATCATTTTGTAAGGGAAGATGGTCAGAATGTTGACATGCAGTGCCTATAACATACGTGTGTAGTGGGATCTCCGCACATCTAGATGACGCATCAAACAAGACCATGAAATTAGTCAAAACGTTCTTGTTTTCTAACATTCCAGGTATTTTTCGAACTCTGGATAAATACTTCTACACAGATTCGTTTGTGGCTTCTTCGCTCATCACCAGATCAGTTTGTGGCGGCGTACAAGCGTTATTTGTAGCTTTCATAGTGTCAGCATTATCATGAAGGTGAAAGACAAAAAAAAATAACAAAAGATGAGAGCCTAACATTAGTCGGGTGAATATCTACAGTTAATTTAAAAAAAGTTTGAAAAGTATAACTGTAAACTGTTGAACTGCAAAATCATTGAGAATACAACTAATAATTTTCCAATGACTTATCAGGTCACAAACTGTAAGCTGGTTTAGTAGTCCTCTCAGATAACCACATATTTCAACATGAGCTGTTCAGCTAATATTTCGACTCACATATTCTTTAAGGGCATGAAAGAAAGGGGTAATTAGATTGATTTCGTGAAAAAGTCATTTTGTAACCATACATTGACATTTTGACAATTTTATGTATAGTTGTAGTAATTTTATCTGTAATATTTTTACTAGTATATTAAAGGTGGTTAGACTAATCTTTCTTTTGATTATATTGTGCTGTGTAGGATTTTCCAGCATGAGTAAACAGTTCTGTCTTGTCCTTCAGTTTTTGGCTGCTTTGACAACTTTGTATCAGTCGCTTAAATGGTTAGAAGATTTTTGCTGTAAATCTAATAACGGTGAACCATTTATATTAATTGTTACCACTGTCATCATTGAACTGCGTCTGTATCTGGCTTACCGATTGTCACCTAACAGATATAAGAGCATTTATAAACAACAGTCATTTGTGGAGTTGAGTACTCGGAGTAGTACTGTACACCGCTTTCCTACAGATATCATGGTTGACGTGGTATGTTTCCTCTAACTTTATACATTTCCTTATTTTGATGGGTTTATTGTTAGTTATGGCACATTTTATTAGATGTTCAACGTTAACTCCGCTAAATTTTGTGTCCAAGTGATTCTCACCGACTATGCTTCATTTGTTCATCAGAATCATATTCCTTACATGGTTATTCAGTTAAGTTAATAATTACTGAACCTTTTTTAGATGCTCTAAAATTTAGTCAAGAAATACGAATTTTGTTTTGGAAGTATCCGTTCCAAAGTCAGAAAATAACCTGTATATGTTTGGAAAATCATCATTTAGGCTGGTGTAGCAAACTATTCCCAGATATTTAAAAAGTTTTAATATTTTTTGAATCAAAAAATGGTTTTAAAGATTACAGGTTAAAGCCGTAATAGAACATTGATCTTCAAACTTTGAAGTTTCATTAGCTTTAAGGTTGTTTTTACGGGTTAGAGTTATTAATCTCACACACAACTTTCCCTCTTTCCCAGACTTACTACTGCTGGCTAGTAAAGCAAGAGTGTGTCAGCCGGGAATTGAACACCAGAGCCTTGATTATGGATGGTAAATCGTAATTGAAAACCTGATGCGGTCTTACTGTTCTGTATTAAACAAACAAAACTTAACACGGTAATTGCGTAAAAGATGGAGTGTCTATTGGTATTAGTGTAGATAGTAGCTTTTGTTTTTTGTCTGTTTTTTTGACTAATTATTGAAGATTTGTGAACAGGGTAGGAGGGGGTGGGTTGAAGAGACCAGAATCTAGAAGTGGACCTTTAGCTGATTTATAAAAGACTTGGAAGAATTGCAGCAAGAGTAATTTTCTAAAGCTACTACAACAGTTGTTTGTTATACTTGCTATACTTTACATTATGTCTTTCTCAGCTTTATTGCTTTCTGTAGTATAATATGCATACCTTTCAATTTTACTTTAAAAGCATCCTTTAATAATTAAGCGCAATATATCGGAAGCATGTGCCGTCATTTTTCAATACAGCTTAAAAGAAATAGAAAAAGGCAATAACACTGTCGATGTAAGTGCTCTCATTTGTATACAAGTATGGATTTTTTTCACTTATTTGTGTTCTCTGAGCTGGTTGATTTAATTGCAAAGCTTTCATTGTCCTTCTAGACAACACCTTCAATGCAAGCTTTTATATGAAGTGAACTTGTTAGAATTTTCCATAGTTGTATCTCGTGATAACCATTATCGTGATCGGTTGTTAATTTACATTTATATTGGTCGGTCATATTTATTGACTTAGAATTCGAACTTTCTTGTCAAGTGATTTATTTTTCATTAGTTGTTAAACTTAATCTACGGTAATGTGTTTATTACTGGGAAAGAGGGAAAGTTGTGTGTGAGATTAATAACTCTAACCCGTAAAAACAACCTTAAAGCTAATGAAACTTCAAAGTTTGAAGATCAATGTTCTATTACGGCTTTAACCTGTAATCTTTAAAACCATTTTTTGATTCAAAAAATATTAAAACTTTTTAAATATCTGGGAATAGTTTGCTACACCAGCCTAAATGATGATTTTCCAAACATATACAGGTTATTTTCTGACTTTGGAACGGATACTTCCAAAACAAAATTCGTATTTCTTGACTAAATTTTAGAGCATCTAAAAAAGGTTCAGTAATTATTAACTTAACTGAATAACCATGTAAGGAATATGATTCTGATGAACAAATGAAGCATAGTCGGTGAGAATCACTTGGACACAAAATTTAGCGGAGTTAACGTTGAACATCTAATAAAATGTGCCATAACTAACAATAAACCCATCAAAATAAGGAAATGTATAAAGTTAGAGGAAACATACCACGTCAACCATGATATCTGTAGGAAAGCGGTGTACAGTACTACTCCGAGTACTCAACTCCACAAATGACTGTTGTTTATAAATGCTCTTATATCTGTTAGGTGACCGTCGGTAAGCCAGATACAGACGCAGTTCAATGATGACAGTGGTAACAATTAATATAAATGGTTCACCGTTATTAGATTTACAGCAAAAATCTTCTAACCATTTAAGCGACTGATACAAAGTTGTCAAAGCAGCCAAAAACTGAAGGACAAGACAGAACTGTTTACTCATGCTGGAAAATCCTACACAGCACAATATAATCAAAAGAAAGATTAGTCTAACCACCTTTAATATACTAGTAAAAATATTACAGATAAAATTACTACAACTATACATAAAATTGTCAAAATGTCAATGTATGGTTACAAAATGACTTTTTCACGAAATCAATCTAATTACCCCTTTCTTTCATGCCCTTAAAGAATATGTGAGTCGAAATATTAGCTGAACAGCTCATGTTGAAATATGTGGTTATCTGAGAGGACTACTAAACCAGCTTACAGTTTGTGACCTGATAAGTCATTGGAAAATTATTAGTTGTATTCTCAATGATTTTGCAGTTCAACAGTTTACAGTTATACTTTTCAAACTTTTTTTAAATTAACTGTAGATATTCACCCGACTAATGTTAGGCTCTCATCTTTTGTTATTTTTTTTTGTCTTTCACCTTCATGATAATGCTGACACTATGAAAGCTACAAATAACGCTTGTACGCCGCCACAAACTGATCTGGTGATGAGCGAAGAAGCCACAAACGAATCTGTGTAGAAGTATTTATCCAGAGTTCGAAAAATACCTGGAATGTTAGAAAACAAGAACGTTTTGACTAATTTCATGGTCTTGTTTGATGCGTCATCTAGATGTGCGGAGATCCCACTACACACGTATGTTATAGGCACTGCATGTCAACATTCTGACCATCTTCCCTTACAAAATGATAATGAAAAAAAAAGAACATCGTATACCCAACACAGAAAATCTGAGCTTAGTTTCGAAATCTACAGCTTATGTCATTCCGCTGAATTTATTGTCTTCTAAGTTCTATATTAAGTTGATAAAGCTGAATTTTTCAGTCATTGATCCATAATAAGTAATATATAATTTAAATAAGTTCATTTTCACACATTAACAACTTTAAATGAAACAACTGACTTACTTTTAGTCTTCAAGCAGTCCAAGCAAAATGAAATCGGTTGTTTCAGCGATTCCAACAAATTGTTAGTAACGTCGACTGATTTCATTAAGTTTATCAACTTTATTATTAAAATCAACCGATTCCACAGTGAGTCATCCTAAAGAAATGTAAGGTGAATACGATGTCATCAAGGATTACTAAGGCTAATGATTTTCACTACACAGAAATGCAGCTTGTACTAAGTATACGAATGAGAATGTATGTCATAAAATACGCCAATTGTTAATTAATGTATCCAAATAAATAAAAAAAGCGGCGACATTATCAAACAGATCTCATGTAAAATATTAATAATTTCGAAAGAATAATCTTAATATTTACTTTTTAGAATCCCAGTTGTGGGTCGGTGGCACAGCGGTTAAGACGCTCGCCGACCATGTACATGGTCCGGGGTTCAAGATCCGGCCGGTGCACACCTTTACCTCGCTAAGCCAGTAGTGACACTGGTAAGGAGGAAAGGTTGGGCATGAGGCCAGCAACTCCATCCTGTAAAAAAAATCAACACTGCTACGGAATCTTCAAGCCTATAGCTTGGAGCCCTATGTTCCACTGGGAACGTGAAGGAAAAAAAAGAATCCCAGTTAACTCAATACTCACCATCATTACATGTTTCACGCAGATCAGAGTTACAGCCAAGAATGGGGGCTGTTTCTTATCTTGAAAGCAGTGACCACATTTTATGTGGTCGTGTTAGCTATCCTTATGCAAACAGAATAAACCACGCACAATAGTATGACTGATAAACATCAGAATATCGTAAGGGGAATACATCTTCAGGTGGGTGCAGACATGCCTGAGTGATAAATTCCAACAAGCAAAAAACTAATGCTCAAGAGGTTTACCTGAGTAACTCTTATCATTTCACACCAGGTTACATTCCATCAAGTCCATTTCAGCGGCTACATTACATAATTCATTGGTTACTACTTGTGAGATTTTTAACATAAAACAGGAAAGGAACTACAGTGAAGATCTGATGGTGAACACAGAGGACTTAGAGAAAAAGTAGGATTTAGACACTGTGGTAGGATTTCATATATATGTCCCTGTATATGGAGTATTCAGTTGAGTTCTACCAAAATTTGATGATTCCATTAAATCCTGCTTTATCAACCTTTGTTGCTTGCTCGAAATTCATACCGGGAATTGATTGTTTCCAACAGATGATTATCTGAACAGAACCGTTGGAGACGATCGCTGCTGTCGGTTGGCTGCCTGGACCTTCATAGGTGCTATCAATATACTTCTCCGAGTGATATAGCTAGCCTGCATGAGCACTGAACTCGCCTGCTAAAACGACTGTATCTGAGAGTTTCACTTTTAGCATTAAACTAGAGACCTGCTGATAGAATTCATCCTGTACTTCGTCCGAACTGCAATCATCTGGAGAGTAGACGGAGGATTATGAAAAGACATCGACGGGTAACGCTGACCTATCTTCTTCGTGCGGATCCGTTCAGACGGATAGCATATTGCTGTATAAAACTGTGTGATTTATCAAAATAAAATCGTATCCATAAGGGACAGCATATCACCTATAACTAACTACTGGAATCCAGTAGGATTGGGATTTTCCCGCCTTGGCACTCAATGCTATCCATACAACTGCAAGTCCGTGTGAACTAGCCGAACAATCTCGTGACACTCGTAAGGTGAATTTTACAGACTCACTCCGGACGACGCCTTCCTTCACCTCGTTAAGTCGGTATTAAGACGGGTAAGGAGTGAAGGTTAGGTATGGGGCTAGCAACTCCATCCCGTAAAAATATACATAACTGCTTCCGAAAATTCAAGGCTCTAGCTTGATATCTGGTCAATTCCACACATGTATATCAATGAAGGAAAAAAAGTGTGAGTAACTTGATATGATTATGAGCAATAGTTTGTGCTCGAAACGTCATCAGTTAATAACACTGTACAACACTGTGATTTATCAAATAAAATCTTACCCATAATGGAGTTATCTGAAAAAACTTACCTTACATGACGAATCGAATTCATTACCACAAATAATGACGCTTTTTAAAAGGGCATCATTCAAGTCAACATTGTGTTTCATGCCAAACTGTAAAAGTGCATCTAAAAACGAAATACAATCCGCGTCGACTAAATAATTTTTAAACAGATAATTTAAAAGAAATACTTACACATATATAATTTAGAGGCTTTTTCAACTGAAGTGACTAGGATAGATGCAAACTGGTCAGCGAAGTCTACAAAAGAGTTGAACCGTACAATTTGATTCAACACAGGAAACACTTGCGATGATCTCCAGTTTACCTCTGATGCTCTAAATCAAAATACCAAAGGGTTAGCAACAATGTAACTAACCTTAGAAACGCACATTTCCAAAGACCAGGAAATAACAACTCAAAACCTTTCAGCCTTATCTGATTAAGAAAACAGGTGAAATGAACCGTCAATTAAAATATGTAACTTACAAGTGATGGATCGAAGGCAGCACTTACAATACATTCAACCAGGGCATCTGGAAGACCTTTTTCATCTGACAGTCAATAAGAGAGAAAAAATCGGAAAATCACAATTAGTTAAAACGAACAATAACGCAGTCACTTATTGAAATAGATAAACACTGCGTACAAAGATAGAATACAAATGTATTTTTACCACTGGAATCAATTCCAAACCATACTTAAATGTCTTCGTATAATGCCAATTTCTAGTGGCAGCATAATCTTTCACACAGTATGCCACTTCAATATAATGAAGGTCTACGGGAAAAGTTGCTTTCCTGAAAGAGAACGTAGAATACTTTCATCAACAGCCATGCTGTTACAGATATTCTCTAGTCTTTTTAGTTAAACACCTCTTTATCTATTTCAAGTACAATGAGGTATTAACTTTTACTTGTAAAGTATGTAAGTATCAACTGCCTGCACTTCGCTCTAGACCTATACATCATCGGTGGCGGTTAGGACGCTCGCCGACCGTGGGAATGGTCTGGGGTTTTATCCCCGGCCGACGCACACCTGATACCAATTGTCGGCCTGCTAAATTCGGGCTACCGATATCACATGCTGAAAATTTCATACTTGTATCAAAAATACTGTGTGGAGTCAAGCCACAATAAATACATAGAATCTAATTATCAGTCTTCTTCATCACTTTTCAAGTTGATTTTCCTTTTTCATCTCATCAAACAAACACTATCTTCAACTGTCTGCTCCACTAATCACGGTAATGACTGTAGTTCATGTGTCAGAAAATCAAGTCTCTTGAATACCACGTTTTGTCCCTATTTCACACCCCTGTTCTACTAACTATAACTTCAACATCCGCATACAGAATCCTAGTGTGTTTTCATTCACTAAAATCCACCTAAGCAGGTCAATGTGACTTCAGATTTACGATCTGATCACCGATGTGCCCAATACCTCATTCCTGCGGTTTTACATTATGCATCAACTCCCAAACCTGTAGCTTCGTTCAGAGATATACGTATAACATAAGTGTTGTTTTTTAAATGGTACTCCAAGACTTCTTGTGAAATGCATGTCCTGCCAAAAACAAAAATGGTTTAATGAGAAAAATCTAATGAACAGACGTGGTCATCGTACACGAGGATTTCAATTTACAGATAGGCATTCAGAGCCATGTCAAACATAGAGTCCCAAAGAATGAACGGTTAGTGGTAATCCCTCCTTACAAATGTCACCGTTGAGATTACCACCGTCATGTCTGTCTGTTTTCGACAGCGATGTATGGCAGTTCAAGCTTCTACACTCCACGTGGCACACAAAGCGAGAGAAGAAGGTAGAAGAAATGCATAATAGAGACAACAAACAGAGGTGTCAGACAAAGAAATAGAGGTAACGAAGAACAAAACAGTTTCATTGGAAATCATAGGTCACAAGGAGTGCATGCATCTGCGTCACCGAGAACGATTTTGAACCATATCACCAAATGTTTCCAACCATTGGTTGTTACCGTCCCGAGGAGCCCAACTAGCCACCTTCCTACGTGACTGGCTTGAACTAACTGTTGTACATTTCATTGACTGGTGCCATGTTTTGGTTTGACCGCCACTAGCTCTTTTCCAGCCTGACCCTATATCAACTAACATCGCCCGTCAAGGAAGGTGATGACTAGGCATACGGAAAACATGTCCTAACCACCTCAGTCGATGTAATTTCACAGCCCCGTCGATTGATTTCCCCTCCTTACCTAGAACTCGACCGACGCCTAACCTCAATATTGCTCACCCTATTATACCACTTCATACGGGAGACAGAGCGCAGGCACCTATGGTCAAAGGCAGCTAATCTTTTCATGTCTTCCACTCTCAATGGTCAGGTTTCACAGCCATAAAGGAGGACGGAGCGAACTAATGAGCAGTACACCCACCCTTTGGTTGATAGCCGGATATCACGTCTACGCCAGAGATGGCGTAAACTGGCATATGCGAAACGAGCCTTCTGTATCCGTTGAGATTTCGTCAGAGATCAACCCGTTGGGGCTGATTCAACTTCCCAAATAAGTGAAGCGGTTAACGTGCTCTACCACTTCACTTCTTATTTCTAGTCTAGGAGTCAGTGTAGTCCAGTCCTGTAAAATCATCTTACATTTGGCGGGAGCGAATCGCATGCCAAACATTCGTAGATCTTAACTCAAGGTGTTCAGAAGACTCTGCATTTTGTCGGCATCCTCGCCTAAAAGGACTATATCGTCTGCATATTCTAAGTCGACGAGATTATTCCCTGGTAGCAAGTCAATCCCTGAGTCTCTGAAGTGGGTTAGGGTTAAGCCCATTAGTACATCTATGATGAAATTGAATAGAAATGGGGAAAATGGACATCCCCATCACCGTCGAGTTCAGAGAAGCGGTGAAATAGTAATAATCTTAGCCATTCATATCATAAGTTACCGCTGGATAGATCGATGTACTTATGTGATCAACAGGGCATGACAATAGCACGCGCTTGTCTCCACATTGGTTGAGATACGAGGACAAATGGAAGGCCTTCCCGAGTTTACCCCGCCCCCCCCCCAAATGACGATATTAACACTGTATTTACGTGGCATTTAAATGAAAAAGAAACATGGAATATCTAACAAGGTATGTGTTCAGTTAACAAGTTCTACACATATTTGACAGGTTCAATTAATTCTACTTTGTAGGCATGTGTTAGTTCGTATTGGGAAAGAAATTTATATACCCATAGGAAATCTATATCGAGGTTTGGAACACAAATTCCATCAAAACCGGGCCACTAACAATCCACGGACTGTCAGATTCTGAAACAAAAATATCTACAGCTATCTAATACTGCCTGTATTTCTTCACTACCGTATGTTAGAGCTGAAGCTTATTAGAAATGCAAAACTTTACTACTACGAATGAATACTAAAAACGTAACAAGAGCTTATTTCATTTTCACTTACCAAGAAGCAAACGTGAAATTCGCTCAAAAGGAAATTCAACTGAGGTATCATTTTCATCACGTTTAATTGCCTAAAGTACTGATTAAATAAAATCTATATTTTCCAACCTTTATAATATCCAAAATATCATTATCTGTAGCCATTATGAGCTCTTAAGGATTTCTGTAGAGATGGATAACCAGCAATAAGTGATTAGTCAGTGGACTCTGGATGGACAGGTTCTGGAAAATAAACAAGAAAAAATCAATTAAAACGCAATAAGATACTGACTTATGTTGTAAAGAACGAAAGAGTAGCTGACAAACTCCGAACCTCAGTTTCACATACTATTCAGTAAATGTAGATCACGCTTACTATTAAAGTTTACATATGAACGGCTGAAATGACAACAAGATTTTGTAATTTTCAAATCATAGAGCATGTTTCTACACTATCCAGAATCACACACAAAACTGATATCTATTTGCTATTCAGTAAACAAGTATTAACTTGCCTAACAAGGGTGTAGCTGATTTTTTCCAATTCAAAAGAACTCAAATGGACGAAAATATACGGAGGAAGAATAATTACAGGGAGAATAGTGAGAAATCAATAGACCTGGTATGTCCCATCTGTGACATTGAGAAGGACTTCATGTCATATCACCGAAAGTCGATAGAGAGTCGTTCTTAGCCTTTTGATGAACTCAAACACATACTCAATACCCACCTATGTGGCTAACACTAACATTTAAAGACTTCATAAGCTGATACAGTGTTTTGACCTAACCACACCTAACCCTTTTCCACCTTGTCACTGCCAGCTGACACTAACCGACCAAGAAGGTGAGGCCTCAGCATAAGTGTCTTGATCATCTCAACCATGTAGCTTTACAACCACATTGACCGATTTTCCCTTCTCATCTAGCTCTATTCCTAACCTAAATATTACACATTATATTGCACAACTTGACAGGGGAAACAGCGCACAAACACCTACGGTCATTCACGTTGAAAGACTATATCACCCATACTCTGGCTCCACGAGACCGTTCATTGGCGACTAGCTAGCCTCTTAATGGCTAAAGTTCGCTTGGTTCACATTTATTAGTGCATCTACGACGAGTTAAGACAAAAGTGTGAACATTGGGTATCCCCGAAGGAAACCACTGGTTGTCATTACTTGCTTCGCGTGCTACACGGAATGTGGCGACTTGAACTTCCGCACATTTGTGCAAAGTTCTATGTCGAAAACAGACAGACAGACAGACATTACTTCTCATGACAACGCCCCACAAGCGTTAAAATGGCTGATTTATCTCTATGAACTGGGACAACCAAAGATCCCCATTACTCCAACAGAAATGTCTCAGATTCCCACACAGTACTTATTTTGTTAGTTGACCCAGAGAATAATTTATCACCGCCATCCTTAAGCGCTTCTGGATTCACACTATCGAGTCCCACTGCTTTTACTTCGTTCGAGAGATGCGAAAGATTTGTCAACCTCTATTATAACAAATAAAATGACTACCGCACAACTGGCGAATGAATAATTCAGTCATGTGAAAACTAGATTCGTTCTTCAACTAAGCCGGAAAATGGGAGATAACGAATGCAAACTAATGAAAAAGATACAACAGCATGACCCCAGAAGGTCTAAATACATTGCAAGTAGAAAACAACCCAGCTAGCACTGACTCCAACGCAGTGTGAAAACTTCGGGTCCATTGCAAAGAAGTGCCCATCATATCCCACTTTCCGTAGTAAACCTGGAAGTTCTTGCTACTTGGAAACAAGAGCTAAGAACAATCAGGCATGTAATAGTGGAAAAACGTGATTATTAGAAAATCCCCAGCAACAACGAAGTCTATAAGTTTCAGGGACTGAGTTACCGATTAGCTGACAACTGTGAGGTATCACACAACACTCAAGGACCAAATGAATGAATCGGAACAACTAGACGAAGTCATCTAGTGGGAGAGGATTTCTTGTGTAGAAAAGTTTCTTAAAGAAAATAAATATAATTAAAAATTGATTCAGACATAATATATGAGTGTTGGGACGACTCTAAACTATAGCAGCCCAAAGAGAAACTACCCAATGAACGGAGTGACGACACTGATGAATTTAAGTACAGATATTGACTTAACCTGACTATGAGCACTCCTGTAAGAAATTGGGAGGTTTTCTTGGAACATATACAAGAATATCACTCTTAATGACCACTTTTTAACATTGCATTACTTTTTTATGGGCGTCTCGTTTTGGGTTGCAGTCACCTGTTGTTCGGCTTTGCACAATCACGTGTTGAATTCGTGCTACCGGATTCACATTCAGATTCGCATAAGCTCAACCTTGAGATCGATCCAAACAAATTTGTCATGCTTCCGATATGCAAAAGTGGACTACTGAAATTCTTAGTGCGAACTGTCCTGCAGTGGAATTTTGAATGACTATCTTTTTCAGTCTTTTTTGTGGCTCTGCTAGACCCCTGAAGGCAGAGTGATGGTCGTGTGTTAGTCTGGTAGTTTTTTTAATCCATTAGACTCATACATACGGCGCTAGTCGTTTCCATAGTTAGACCTCCTAAATCGTCTCCCATATTTAGTAGTCGAAAAAATAATGACTGTTATGACAACGAATTTATTGTGAAAAGGTAAAATATGCCGAAAAATAGGAAACAGATTATTATACATTGGACATTGGCGGGAAAACACTGTTGGGTGAATTCGGATTAAGGCTGCCGTTGACGAAACTTTATGTGAGGACGATTATCTATATTAAGTCTGTATGTCAGACATCTGGATGTAAACCATGGGCTCGTTATTGCTTACTAATACCCCCTTAATGATGATGAGATGACCACGGCTTCCAATGAAGCACTGAGAGAGTACAACAAGCGTAGCCAAATGATGTGGGAGTGCACTCGAGCTTTGGTTATCTGAGAGGCTATCTCTCAGTGGCTACCGCACGGTTCACAACAATAGCACCATGGGGGACTCTGGGTGTTATCAGGTTAATCAGTAAACTCAGGAAGTTAATCCCAAAAATACATGGTTTCCTCATCTCCTACATTCACCTTTTCCTTCCAAAGTCCCGCCACCTCATTCCTGTTCTTCCCTGTTTCTTCTACAAGCTGCTGGCGCGTCTACTCATATGCAGCAGATCACTGAATTTTTCAGTGTCCACATGAGATACTGCGTTGGTTTAACAGGGGCGTCAGAGGTCTGGTGTAAGTGTACCAATGGGGGGGGAAGCCCCGTACACATTCTGATCACGTATTTCAAATAGTCTGAGCCTACGCCGTGAGTATAGGATATAAATTACATCTTGGCTGTGTGTGGGACAAAATTAACAGAAAAGAGGGGAAACGGCCCAATCGGGAGTTACACTGAGCGACAGATTTGCATGCTTTAGCACTAGTGGCGGCATTCCTACAGATCAGTTATGAAAGTTATTTCGTTGGGCTTTCTATCTACACTTGGGACGGGGAAAGCTTCTCATCTGCCCTTTATAGAATTTCCATGTATATGTTAACTCTGGAGCACTTCATTTAAGAGACTGAAGAGGTGTTCTCCACAAAGATTCAGTAGAGATGGCTGAGTCCCTGCACAACACAAGAACCTCCTAGATTTGGTTTCCTTAGCAGAAGGTTAAAGAAGTTCACACATTCACCTTAATTTCAGCCATTCAGCCCTCATTGTTCAATGTATACTTATATCTACTGTCTGAATCGGACTGCAGACATGCGCGTTTTCAAAGAACGAGACCACAAGTCTGCAGTGCGGCGTGGTTGTAAATCTCTGCACTGCCTTCATGCCATAGTCAATCAATACACCCTTGAGCAGCCGTAAGGGTTACCTTCTCCAGTCATTGCCGTGTTGAGAGTAGCCTTGCCAACAAGGTTAGGCCAGCCAACCTAGAGAGTCTCAAGGCGATTATACAGCATATCCGTTTTCTGAAGTGGCTCCAACTTAATCCGGTGGGAATTCGTGCGTCTCAGTAAGTAAGTCAAAATATACCGTCAAGATTCCGTGAAAGTTCAATAACATACGTAGGACTTTTGAATTTACTATCTTTAATCCATAACACTGCACAAATGTCAGTATTAAGCGACATTTTCCGATAAAAGCACAGGTAATGTAACGTAGTTCAAGAACACAATGCTGCCTATAATGTGTGAGTCGGAGGAACTCTCTTGATGCAGAATTTCTGTCGAAAAGTGTATAACACAATGCAACTTATCGTTTAACCGCCATAGCAATGAACCACAATACCACAATCTCAGGGAATAAACAACAAGGCAACCGGCAAGAACATGTCACAATCCAAGCCCACTGGTGTAATTAGATTTTAGGAAGTGAATGAAGCCCCAGTTTACTTGAGTTAAACAGTGTGGATCAGTGACGATTGCTCTGGACTAATGATTTTTGGAAATATCTAGCGTCACAGCTCAGCCCGTACTAAAACGAGCCAGAAGTCAAAAGTCTATTCTAACATCATTAGTATTACTTGCTATGGGTGGGATGGTATTGGGCAGCCTTCTGGTCTCCTGTCTAAAGTAATATGATGTATCTGCAAGGATTCGTTTCATATTCATTTGTCGGTTTTCGTGCTTCATCTGATTTTCGTCCATTGCCACTGTATTTGGAAGGGAAAACAAGAATGTTGTGAACCCCTTCCAACACATTAGCAAAAGTAATCCCTCAATTAGAGCATACATGCGAGGCTCAGAAATGCGTAGCGATGCAACATCAGGGATCATTAGCCCCTTAGAGCAGCCTGAACGTACATATAATGCAAGAAAATGCATCCATTGAAGACGGAGCTTACACTGAGAAGTGACCCTCATATATATGAGAATTTCTCCATCAGCATAATCGTCAACTTTTGAAATCAATGTGGGACACGTCCGTCACAAATATACTTGGCCACGATGGTTAAACGTCCTTGCTAGCATAGCGAACGGTCTACAGCTAGGGCAAGGCATATTTCCCGGGAGATAGCTGACACAGTGTCGACATCAAACGCGGATACTAATATCTCTAAAATATTATCTGATTATCACACTGGTGTCTCTCACTGCATGCCATATCCGAACAAAAGACCATCTCTGACTACCACCTCTAAAACCTACCTGAAGTCTTCCTATGATCCAAAGATATTGGTAAATGAGTCTCATAACATGAATATAGAGGATACTCACGGATTATTTTATCAAGATATTGTCCGCTCACTGAAACCATTTAGCCACTGTTTATTTGTTATCCTAGTAAATATGAGATCATTTCTAAGCAAACACTTAACAGTAAGTGTATTAGCTTCTATATGCAGACCGTCATTGATCATGATTACTGAAGCCTGGTGCACAAGTAAAATCTCCAGTGATAGCCTAAGGATTGATAAATACAACCTTTTTCGAGGGGACAGGCAGACAGGTCGTGGGGTGGAACACTAATTTACTGTGAACAATCCATGTGTGAAACCCAGTTTAGTAACCCGATTCTGTCACAACTCAATGACTCGATCTGGGTAGAAATAAAAGTTGTCAGAAGTAAACCTATACTTGTGGGTTGTGTGTACCGACCCGTTTCATCCAGCAGGGAATATGATAATATGCTCAGAAATATTTTTAATGTTACAGCCAATCTTCCTTTTAGTTATAAAATTATCGGAGGTGATTTCAACATGCCAGAAGTATCATGGTCTTCACTCCGAGGACCCCAAAGGTATGATAATCTCCTGAATTCCATCGCCACAAGAGGGTGGACACAACACATAAATTCACCCACTAGATCCGCAAATATCCTAGACCTTATTTCCACGAACAACATAACACCATCTACAGTACATGGGACACGAATTTCTAGGTAGTGACCATAAAATAGTAGTGTGTTTTTTGACATCTTTCCTGAAACAAAACTCAGTGATGAAGCTGGCCAGATACCTATGAGATTGTACACACATGCTGACTGGGACTTGTATTAGCACTTAATTAGATGTTCTAATTGGGACTCGTACTTTTCGAACCAGTCCTTAGAGGCAATTCTTAACAACTTTTATCAGAATATTAACTCAAGATTCTTAGTTTCAGATTCCCCAAAGCGATTATATTCCGATATCGTTTAGAAGAAGTCTACGAAAGCGCTCAATAAAATACTACAGATATCATGACTTATCATCGTTAATTGCTATTACGTCCCTTCTCAATAGAATTGAAGAGTTGAGAAATATAGGCCTCAGAAACAAAGAAATGCAGGCCATTACTCAGGAGAAATGGTCAAACTTTTCAAAAGTAGGTTGGCGAACTCCAAAAGAGTCTGTCCGAAAATAATGTACTTAGACGGCATTGCTTACGAAAATAATGAGGCGATATGTGAACTGTTTAGCAAGCACTTCGCCGGAATATATACCTTAGAGAACGATGAGGTCGTGGATTTCCCACGTAAAACAGACGAATATTTAAGTGACGTAATTTTTGCCACACATGAGATCGATAAAGTTGTCGCATATCTTAAGCTTAGCAACACTATTGTTCCAGATGGTATATCTTCCGTTCTGCTGAAAAAAGGTGGTAACGAGATGAATCTATTGTTACTCAAGTTATACTCAATTACATAAAGCGATAGGACATGCCCTAACTCCTAAAAAAGGCTTCTATTGTACCTATACATATATACGGGCCTATAGCTGGTATCAACAACTACCGCCCCGTAAACATCACGTTTGTAGTTTCGCGTGTAATGGAAAAGATAGTAAAAACACAAAACATTCAGTACGGTTCCTTAAGTAGAAGGTCGTGCACTACTTGCCACTTATATTATTTTGACTACATTACGCAATGCATTGATAATGGGCATTCGTTAACAACATTATTTCTCGACATTAGCAAGGCCTTGGATAAAGCCCCACATATCAGAGTCCTAACAAAACTTCAATCCTACGGAATAACCAGAATACTTCTCAGATGGATAAGTTCTTTTCTCACAGAAAGAGAGCAATTGGTCAAAATCAACCACCAGCTGTCTTCATCAAAGCCGATGACGAGTGGTGTAATACAGGGTGGCGTTCTTGGCCCCATTCTATTCCTCTTATTTATAAGTGACATAGTCTCTGTGATCAAGTATGGCAAGCCATACCTTTTTGCAGATGATGTGAAGATAGTATTTGATTATTGGTATGAGCATCGAAAGCAAGATCCAACAAGACTTAAACGGCCTAGGCGATTGGAGCGAGAAGCGGCAATTGACTTTCAACCCAGACAAGTGCGGTATAACCCACCTTGGACACTGGAAACCGATAACATGCCTATATATGTACGGTAAGCCCCTCTCAAAACTGAACACAGTCATAGATCTCGAGATAACATACTCAGATTTATCCTTTTCCGATCATGCAAAGAAGGTTGTATCTGACTGTAAACGACTTACCGCCTTTGTACTGCGTAACTTCTACACCCAAGAAGCAAGAGTAGCTATATATAGGACATGTATCCGTCCCAAACTTGAATAT